TCAGTGCTGTGGTGACTGTTCTTCTCACAGTAACGGATGAACAGTACCCAGTGTGAGAGGACCAGAGGCTGTGAGAGGTTTATCATTCAGCAGCTGTGAGCAGTGATCCAGCTGTCACAAGAATGCCTTTTTTAAAAGCTTCATTCTTTATTTTCCTGTCTCCCATCAGCTGGTGCTTTTGCAGGGCGAGTTCTCTTTTCCCTTCCCGCTGCTCAGTCAACTCCCCTGTGAGGCTCCAGACACACGCGTCTTGCAGCACTCTTGCGTGAGCCCATCTGTTGTTGTGCAAAAGTGAACACAGGCCAGTTTTGGGGAACGCGAGGGATTTAAAGCCCTATTTCTGTACCAGCCGAGGCTAAGCCCACAAAGACCCAGCCAGCTGTCTCACGCTGGCGACAGGCGGGACCTCGGCGCGTGCTGCACGAGGCGTTTCGGGCCGCGCCGGGCCCCGACGGCGTTACTTACGACCCGGTTCCACACGGCCCCCTGCTTGCTCTGCATGTCCGGCGTGAGGCGCACGTAGTCGGTGGTCACCATGGTGTTCCCCAGCAGGTCCCAGTGCGAGGAGCTGGCCGAGCCCACGCCTGGACACACACAGGACACGGGGTCAGCCTGCAGCCTGGCAGGGACAGGGCGTGGCTGTGGCTACTGCACTGCAAGGTGCCACCGCAGCCAGCGTCCAGCACAGGAGGCACAGCGGTCAAGCATGCCAGGCTGATCGAGTGCCCTCTGACTTACAGCCGCTGTTCAAGAGAGCATGTGACCTCAGTCACGAAAGCCCAGAGGTCAGAAACTGGGCGTTAAGGGGGGACCTACAATACTTGCTGGATTGTGGTTCTCCATGTTGCCACAAGTAAGAGGCAAAACAACTTTATCAGATGCCTGTGCTGTATATATATATATCCCCTATATTACCTCCAGATTCTGTGTGTTAGCAAATGAGATTGACTGACTGAGCAGCCATTAAAATGTTTAAGGTCTGTGGATTTGAGAGGTCAGTGTGGCCGGACAACTGATTCCTTTCTTTTTCTAGTACTTGACGGTACATTACATCTGACAAGACAGTTTGATACTGACAAACAAGATTTATTTGAACGGGGAACTTATTGTTATTCTTGGGATTATGGGGCACTGCGATCAACATGAGGGGATTCGTAATTTCCTTCCCATTGTAAATGTAAGGAACGGGTAAGGGTTCATTGCGTGCTGAAAGGTAAAGAAAAGATACACAATGTTTCTGGCTGTGGAACCTTTTTCAGGTGACACATTGAAGGCAAATTGAAAGCACTTTGAAGCGAAAACACCGGTTCGTATTCCAACCACTAGGGGGAGCTATATTACTTTGAACGTTTTGCCATGGTGTGACTGTTTTCCTTACACTTATTTAGCGCTTTACAGGTAATGGGGACTCCCCCGACCACTACCATGATGCAACAGCAGCCAAAGTGCGCCAGAGTAATGAAGCCAATTCATTTAGCTATATACCTGCGTAAGATCTCATACTGTATCGGTTAACCAACATAAAAATTGCTCCATAATATTATTTAGGGATGAATTAAAGTGGTTTACACTTCTACCTTTTTTACAGTTTTAATTGTGAACAGAACTTGCAGGCTGGTTTAAAAACACGGTTATGCATACTGCAAAACACAGAATCAGACCAGGAAAAAAACACTTCCATTCGGTTTCTCCGCCAAGGCAAAGGAACCAAAATCACGTACTCGTGTGATCAGGGTTAGGGTTACACACTCCAGAAACCAAAGCAGCCTGCATCGCGGTTGCTCAATTCAACTTGCTGAACCGCCTTGTCAGGTCGGGCTGACCTGTGTACCGGCGGCAACTTTCATGTGAGATTATGGCAAGGCCTCCTCCTTACTCGCTCTCTCGCCTACATCGTTCACCTGTGTTCCCCCAGAACATAATTCCTGAAATGGCTGTGACTGGATGACTACCTCGCGTCAGATTTCGCAACACAACAGCACTGGTCTGGTCAGGTCGCCTCTACTTCTTGCATTACGCAATCCAAGCCAGGCGAGTCACGACGTGCAGGGCTAGGAGGCTAGGAGTCAGGTGCATGCATCAATAAAGCCACGCTGTTTTAAACGCGTGTTTTCAGTGCTCGGGTTGACTTCATATTTAGCGTTGCCATGGTTTGACAAGCCTGTCGAAAACACTAGCTACTGAAGATAACGTGACTGTGTTGGCGGATATTTTAGTGCACTTCACATCGAGTCGATCCGATCCGCCAAGCCAGTGTCAGAAAGCGAAGGCAGCTGGAGATTTCAGCGCTGTCATTTGATTTGCAGGGAGAGTCTTTTCTCTCTCCCGCTATGATCGATCCGCTCTCACCCTCCCCGTTCATCTGTACGGTAATGGATCTTACCTTGGTACGGCTTGATCAGCGAATGCTCCCTTTTCAGGAACTCTTCCACCTCGTGTCCTTCGTCACCCCAGCACGGGCTTGCCGTGAGCAGGATGAAGACAACTGCGAACGGGATCTTTTTGATCATATTGTGAAAAGAAATGAAATAAAAAATTCCCTTGCGAGCCCCAGCTAGAACCTTCCCGTTCATGGCAGCGGCCATTTTGCTCCTCCCCCTCCCTCCATGACACGCCTTTCCCCACCTACCTCGCCTCTCAGTGGCTGGTAGGATGTGTTGTCATCAACTATTCGCTGCACTGAACTGCCATTCACGAGTCTAACTCTACCTGTGCCCCGCCCCCGATGAATAATGACAGTTCGTTGGAAGCGGAATATGATTGGTTCAGGGGCTAATACCCGCCCACTTGTGAGACTTTTGGGATTCTATTGGTAAAAGTTATTATCAATTAAAGAGACTCCAAACATCCCGCCCACTCCCGGAAGCAGTTGCCTTGGTAACTGATTCCGTTAGGAGGGTGAATAGTAAGATGTTGAAAGTGTTTGTCTAATAGTGTAACGTTAAAAAAACAATCTAAACACTTAAAAAAGTTTTTCTTTGCCACAGGCCATATACCTTCTACTTGAGCGTTACTTGTTTCTTTCAAGTTTCAAAAAGGCAAAATCGTCGTTGTTACAAAATCACATTTCGTAGAAGTATGTCGCATAGCACAAGAAATCAAAACCGAGAATAGGAACGATTTTTTTAATGAACTGTAGCTACATATGCTTAAAAGTTTTGCTATGTTTATGTTTTTATTATCTACCTGAAACGTATTATTAAATAACGAGGTTTCCTATGATACTTAAAGTGCATATAGTCGAACGGAATTATTTTCCAGAACCGCAAGCACAGCGGATGTGCTTTTGGATGTTTCTTCCTTACTGATCTCATCCTGGACTTTTGAGGTGGAAACCTTAAAACCTTAAAAGCAGTTTTCCAAGAAGCCCGGTACGCTCACCCGAGCAGGGACTGGTTTGTCGCGGGGCAGGACCTGGGTGAGACGCCTTGCTTCCTCTCAAAGAGCAGCAATTTCTTTTTCTGAAGACTAATATTTCGCTTGGAAGCCTGACGTTCATATTTAGCAAGGGAGTTGATGGAACAATTGCAATGAAATTATTTAAGCTTCTACATTTTCAGCTTATAATTAATAGTTTGATGTTTGATATTTGTTTGTTTTTTGAGAGCAAAGGGTCAAAGAATCCGCAGTCTGATGATTTTCCAAACTTTGCATATGAAAGACCGTCGAAAGTGTGTTTTTAAAACGGTTTACGAAGCCAAAATTGTAACAGCGACTGAACTCAAGCAAGCCCGGGAATTCATTTCGAAATCTAATGCATCTTGAGGCTGACTCATGTGGCTCACGAATGTCTGAACGCAGACCTGAAACATAGGAGAATGAAATCATGTGCGCTAAATATGACATAGTGTTTATAACGCCCGATCACAGCCTAGCCACAAAGCCCTATTCAGACAGAAGACTCATTTCCTGGAAACCGCTAACTGAGAGGCTGTGGAGCGCTCAGCAGTTTTGAGCTCTGTCACATGGCATATACTGTAAGGCCGCAGTTAGGCTTTTTAGTTTTGTTTCCCGCCTCTGGCGTCGCCGACAGGGAACGTGATCTGTTCTCATCATTTTGCCCTTTACCTTATATTGGCTGTTGTTTCTTTCTCGGTCCTCCCCGTGCGCTCTTTCACTCACAATACAGCCAATAACACGCTTCTCCAAAACCTTCCCACTACAATTTAACGCTTATTCATAATCCCAAAAAATCCTACAACCCTGTACTTGTGCTCTTCTATTGTTTGCTATAATTATAGTATACGAGTAATCTTTGCTTTGCTCTGATAGTGTTTGTATAAGTTGTTTGTTACTCTAGTATTCTATTTTATTGGCCTTTATCGGTCATTTATGCACATATATCAATCTACAAATCCCCTTTGATATCGAGGTGGCATCGGCAGGAAAACACTATGTTAACGATTTATGATAGTCCTCAGTATTTTAACTATATTATGTTAAGAGGATTTTTTTGCGGGCTTAGTCAATTCCAATCAAAACTTCCACATTCGCATGTACAGCAGGTGGGATTAAGAGGTTCTCCTAATCTACTTGGAAAAGTCATGATAAGTGCTAAAATAATTGTGTCGGGAATAATTCTGTGTACTGAGAATTATTCTGAGCTGTTCAATAAAAAAGCATTTTTGTTCAGTTTACAGTCCATTTCATCACAACGTTTGTTTTAAGAATGAATTAAAGAGTTTTTATTTTTTAGCTCTTGAGAGATTGACGGTATTCATTATAATTATTGTAATAAAGTAAATAAACGCATGATTTCATCCTCATTTGTAGTAAAAATGTTTGGATTACAAGTCATTCTTCCGGTACCCCCACCCCCACAGCACCCTTCATTTAGCTTTGCTGGATTTCATTCTTTAAAAGTGTGGAGGCTGAGGCTGCGTGATGTCATTATCACCCAATCAGGGGCCACCCGGACATGATGATGTAATGTTTACCAGCAAGTTCAGTAGCACTGCGGTTCAATCGGATATAATCACTGAAAAAAAAAAGTTAAAACGCCTTTTTTATTTTTATGAGGATATTATTTTAACATCACTGTCAAAATGGTGAACCTCATTAAGATTCGATGTTCTGTAGCTAATATATAAACTATATATGGAGTGCATACTTATTCCGTCTGAAGTAGTAAACGATATATTTGTATTTTATAATTACAGTGACAAAAAATAGTATAATTTCCTAAATTTCTTATTATTAATTAAAAGACTCTTACTCTTACTGGAACACTTGAAAAGTTGAATTGCTAAATATCACATATACGTCAGTTATGCCATCGGTATGTGCATCTATGTCAGTTAAAACAGTCTTAAAGGATAGTTAAAGGAATTGCTTTCAGGATATACTATGAACAATAACGACTCCAATTAAATAAAAATATTTCCTTCCATCTTAACAAGTGCACTGCTCTTCCTTAAAAAGAAAGTGATGATTTAGAAGGCGGCCCTAACGTCATATGTGGGCGGTACAGAAGGCGGGGTTAGGATAATGAAGAGGCGGGTTTTAAGAAATGAGTAGGTGACGTCAGCTCCCAGCTTGCGGAGAGTGAAACAAACATGGCGACAGACTGGAGTGGGCAGGGGTATATTCTAACTTTGATCGTTTTTCTATGGAGCTCAACAGCTGGACGAATGGAGGCAGCAACCGCAGAGGTCAGTAACAGCCAGATCTTGGGCATGCGGCTGGTGTGGAGCAACAAGTCGGCCACGACCACCAACGAGGGAATCATCCAGGTAACAGAGGGCAGTGAGGTCCAGCTCAGGTTTTACGGGCTGCAGCTAAACTCGGGCACCTGGTCACAGATCAGGTTTACGGAACACGGAGACGGAGTGGGAGAGGGCGAAAACAATGCCTTTAGCCACTCTTTTAACAGGACTTGCGCCGATTTCACCAAAGACATCGCGATCAATAATTTCATGAACGTCAGCAGCCAGGGCACCTCCGGGGTGCTCAAATTAGCCATCAAGACGCTCCGCAAGAGCGAAGAGTCCAAGGAGTACAGCTTGTGCGTGAAACGCAGCCCGGAAGGCGAGTGGAACCTGTTCGGGGAGAACGATGGCAAGCTGAAGGTGGTGGAGGAGAAGTCGTCGCTGCTCCCGCTCTGGCTGCAGATCATATTGATCGCCCTGCTGCTGTTACTGTCCGGCATGTTCAGCGGACTGAACCTGGGGCTGATGGCTTTAGATCCCATGGAGCTCCGCATCGTGCAGAGCTGCGGTACGGAAAAGGAGAAGAAGTACGCCCGCAAGATCGAGCCCATCCGCAGGAAGGGCAACTACCTTCTGTGCTCGCTCCTGCTGGGCAACGTGCTCGTCAACACGACCTTGACCATCCTGCTGGACGACCTGATTGGATCTGGCCTGGCTGCGGTGGTGGCCTCCACCATCGGCATCGTCATCTTCGGGGAGATCATGCCCCAGGCGCTGTGCTCTCGCCACGGCCTGGCCGTGGGGGCCAACACCATCGTGCTGACCAAGTTCTTCATGCTGCTCACCTTGCCCATGTCCTACCCCATCAGCAAGCTGCTGGACTGCGTGCTGGGCCAGGAGATTGGCACCGTCTACAACCGGGAGAAGCTGGTGGGGATGCTCAAGGTGACGGAGCCCTACAACGACCTGGTGAAAGAGGAGCTCAACATGATCCAGGGGGCGCTGGAGCTGCGGACCAAAACCGTGGAGGACGTCATGACCCCCCTGAGCAACTGCTTCATGATCCACAGCGACGCCGTGCTGGACTTCAACACCATGTCCGAGATCATGGAGAGCGGCTACACCCGCATCCCGGTGTTCGAGGACGAGCGCTCCAACATCGTGGACATCCTGTACGTCAAGGACCTGGCCTTCGTGGACCCAGACGACTGCACCACGCTGAAGACCATCACCAAGTTCTACAACCACCCGGTCCACTTCGTCTTCCACGACACCAAGCTGGACGCCATGCTGGAGGAGTTCAAGAAAGGTAGGGCCCGTCGCCATAGCAACAGAAGCTTGTCGAGCGCATGGGACTGGCGCGGTGTCAAAGAAGAGCACTGGAGAGCTTCTGCTGCTGAAAAGCCTAAGGCTGGAAGCCGCAGTGTGTTTTGCAGTTCCAGACTGGTCTCATTTGCCAGTCTGGTTTGCCCACCTCTTTTTCATATTGTTGTAAAGATGGCGTTCATTTAAAGGTATGAACAGCGCCCCTGTGTTTTTTAAATTAGCACTGTGGTGAAAAAGAGGGTATAAGGTTTGTTAGCCTTGGTTTTCTCCTCCCAGGAGTCATTGACACCTCTCTTCTGGTATATAATGATGTGCAGGGCTCCATACTCAGGATTTACTGTTGCTCTTTGTGCGTTCATGACCTCACAAATCTAAAACGTCCTCAGAAGTGATGAATATAGTTTCATGCTTTCGAGTTTAAACATTTGTGTTTTTAGGTCTGTGTGTCCGACCGGCTCTGCAGGCATCCTGTGTTGGGTTGTTTCACGAAGCAAAATGATCTGTGCGTTCTCATTTCTAATCCCTCCTCCGCCCGCTTACCACTTGTATTTCTGACAGGACAAACACTCGGGGCTGACGGATTGAGAAATCATTTCAGGCTCGAGTGTTATTGTGTGAGTGAAGAGTTGTGCAGCTAAGTTAGACCATCCAAGTTGTCCTTACAGGATACGTCCCTCTTTGTGTCTGTCCATGTATCTGATCTTGTCCGCCAGCCTCTGCAAATATCTGTATGCCTGGCTCTCTGCCCTTCTTACATCAGTGGTGTTGGGGAGACTGCTGTGGCTGTTGGTCTGCGAAGGCGTGTGTGGTTGCACGGCTGAAGCTACAGGCTGCCTCTGTGCTGTGTGTCTCCCGCGGACGTGCCGGTGTCCCCTCGCTCACCCTGTGCACTGAAACCTTTGGAGAGGAGACAGGTTTGCAGATTATGCAGCAGTGTGGTACAGCAATTCCAATGCTTTGTCGGGAGGCTGCCATCAGGCCCTTAAAGAGACAGCACCAGTAAGGACACACCAGGGCGCCTCTGACTAGGCGTCTGCTGGAGTGTTTTTCCATTCAGGCTGCTGAGGGGCTGGGATGTTGGTGAACATTTCTCCAGGTGTCGTTTTGATGCTTTGTGTTTTCACAACCGCCTATGTTCCCAGCTCCCTGTGGGGCTTCTTTTAAACAAACATTTACTGTTTAGCAAAGAATTTCAAGACAGAAATGTGCATGTGAGAATTGGAGAGAGAGTTAATTGCCATATTCCTTCAAGGCTAACAAAAAGAAAAAGCTCTCAAGGGGAATGAAACCCATGCTTTGTTTCAGGGCTTAACAGCTACAGTTCTGCCTCTCCTCTTCCTGCTGTGGTATCCAAACTCCTTTTTTTTGCACCATCTGTCCTGTCCGAAGTGACATGAAGGCTGGGGTGTGCAGACTCACTGAGGGTCTGATGATCCCCTGATCCCCTGATGAACCGAGCTCGTTATTTACTCAGCAAGACTCTTTCACCTCTAGTGCTTCACCCAGGTTTTAAACTGCTCCCAATTTTAAGGTTATAAAGCTGACAGAGCTGTAGCCTTTGAGGTTAGGAGTTTCAGTGTGTCCGGTGTTGTCTGTTGTGCAGTTTAAAGACAGTCACTGATTTGCAAATAATGTTCTTATAAAGCAAACCTTATTGGTTGGAAATACAAATTCTTGCAATATTTTGACAGAATGAATTGTATGTTCCTAAAGGGAAACTTTACTGCTTCTCTTTTTTTGTGGAAGGATTTTCCCAGATCATTTGCATGCCTTGATACCTCATGCATGATAACAACCCAGAGCCTGACACAAATATAATTAGTACAGCATGAGCTGTCTGACTCCCAGGCTTGCACAGTGAGAATTAAGCACAGTCTTATCGTAATGTCGTGTGTCTTTCTGCGATGAGCTATTGCCAGCTGTTTCAAGACCTTACTCCTTTCGCTGTCCTGAGGGGGTATTGCGTTGTGCTGTCATGTGGATTTTGGTGTTGAACCCAGCTTTCACCAGCGTCTCAGCCTGTCTGTCTCAAATGGCAATCCTGTTTGTACCACGGTGCACAGCCACTGTCTCTTCTGGGAGCATTTCGGCACTGGATTCTCTTGCTTCTTCCAAGAGAGCTGGACACGGGAGAGAAGAATAGAAACGTTACAAGAGAGGTGACAATAGAGCGAGTTAGGATCTACGCTGATCCTGCTCCCAGTCTAATCTCAAGTCTTAGGTATAAACGTCTCTCTGGAGAGGAATTGTTTGCTGGGCAGCACTTTTGCGCATGAAAGCAAGAGAAAACATCTTTTACCAGCTCTGAATCACAGGCATTCATCACAAAGAGTCCTTTCACTCGGGACCTCACTCTCTCAACCTTTCACTTCTCTGTTGAGAACAGAGTGTTCTCCAGGGGTCTTAGCGTCACTAAACATCAGCTTATCTACCTTGTGTTTTCCAGTTTTTGTTCCAACGTGATTTGTCAATTTAACAATAAGTCTAATATGAAACATACATAGGTTTTTCTAAATATATAAAGTCTTTTGTAGATGATCACATAGTACATTCAACTTCAGAACGTTCAGACACATGTAGGATTTTGGATATACAGGGTATTTGGAGTTGGGCGCAAGAAACATTTGCTGTATTTAAAGAGAAATTTATCTATGAATCGTTTTGGTGCCTCGTTGGAAATCTTACAATTAAACAGCTAATAAAATAGAGCAACTATGTAATGTGGATGGAACAAAAACCAGTGGACTCTAGGCCCTGCAGGAATTGAATTTGAGACCTGCATCACTGCTGCATCACACCTAACCCACAGTTCTTTGTGGTAATGTCCCTGCTGAGGGAGCTGCTCCTGAAGAGAGGACCTCGTGTAATGTTGGAGAATGGTAGCTGTATTGGATCAAACTCCAAGACGTGTCACGTATGGGTACATCTTGCAGTACATAGAGGAAAGAGTCCCCGCTGCCCTTGGTTATTTTGTGGAATATATAAGCAAGCCTCTTGAAGAGCCACAGAGAATAAGCATCAGCTGATCACCCACACGCGGATGCACACTCTCTGACGCTTGTGCTCAGTGTAATGGCTTTGCTCGTGCCGATGTGTTGTATATTGATGGGCCCTGACGCTTATTAGAGAGGGTCTGCCCTAGAGCAGCACATGCAATGCCACATGACTGTGAATTCTCGCTGCCTACGGTTCACACGGATTTGTGGCCCAGTTAAAAGTCTTTCAACAGGTAATAAGTGTAAACCACAGACTGGATTAAAATTAGAATGCTCTTCTTCACATAATTATGTTTTATGGCTTTGCCACCGAAAAAACAAAACAAGCGTTTTGACACCACCCAAGCAGAAGAAGCCCCTATTGTTGTGGTCCTCAAAACAGACATGCATCCAAAGATGCCTCTTGTCCCAGTGCGAAGAAAAATGTCCTTAGAGATGCAGGATGGTGGAGCTTCAGCGTGGAACAAGAAAGCAAGGAAGCGTCTCTCAGGCATTCCAGAAAGCAGCTGTGTCTTGGCTGGGTGTATGACTGGCAGAGGAAATGCTGCAGGCGAGCTGTGGCTATTTCTCTGGAGGTGGTATCCTTTCCCTAACTTGAGTCTGTGTTCACATGTGGGTAGCGTGTGGATAGTGTTCAGGACTTGTTCAACAGCACTGCACTCACCCACCCCACGTGTCATTTACAGTGTGGGCACCTGAACTGTTAGCTGCATTCACCCCAATTCAGCACAGCGTGGACAAAGTGCTGCTTACGGATGCTTGCGGTTGCGAGGTATTGCTTTCACAGTGCAGGAGAATTTCCTTTGTTTTTCCTTAATTGGTTCTTATTTTGTTAACCCTTCGATTGGCGAGGCTGAGCTGGGCTGTGGAAGAAATGATTTGCCCTGCGGCGCCATCGCTGTCAACAGGAAGCGATCGAGCTCATGCTGGTGTCTCTCCTCGGTCTGAGTGCTGCATCAGCAGCTGGAGTCTGTGGGTGGCGTGTCTGTGCTGTCCGCTTCAGCACGTGAATGGTGACGTTTGAACGTGTGCATGGCGGAGACTGTCACTGCCAAATTGATCATGTTAGTCGGGCTGGTTTTTAGTGCTTCGGGGGCAGGCGAGGCAGAAAACGCAGTTGGACAGGATCGGCGACTCATGGCACCAAAATTCTTCAGACTCGCTCGTTTGAATGTCACTGGGGCTTGCTGCATGTGTCCTGGTGTGGTTAAGCGCAAGCACCAGCTCATCAGCTTCTTGAAGCTGTACCCTTTTCTCCCAGCCTTACAGACACAGCCCCAGGATACGCCATTTCTCCTCAGCCCCGGGTGCTGTGGGTGAATCTGACACCTGTCATATTTAATGTAGACGCTTAGCAGTAAAAGACGCTTAAGCAGTTTGTTTCTAGATCATAAGGGGTGTGGGACTGCATGAGTCTATTAATGGAAATTCCATGGAATATGTCCTATCTGGACATTAGATCTCATCTTAGAATCATGGAAGAAAGGGTATGCCCTGCATATTCTCTCTTTAGAGATTTCTGGTCATGCCAGGTAAAATGACATTGTAGGACAATTCTCCACGGTTAAAGGTTGAGGAAGTGTGGCACCATTCTCCGATTTCCACTGCTCTGAGCTCTGATGTCCCGACTAACTCCGTTTTGTACACAACAAAACGAATGTGTGTCCACCGAGATGCAGAGGGATGCTTAACCTGTCAGAATCACTCTATCCGAAAATGCCATTTTTACCCACATGGGGAGAATGGGGACGTGCTGTTGGGTTCCTCCATACCGTCAAACCTGTTATCTTTTGACTCTTTTTGCAATCTCTGCAGTGACACATGGGAGGCTTTGGCGGGGAGTGGAAGAGATGAGAGAGCCCAGGCTGACGTATCCTCAGTCTGCGGCCTGCAGCGCTGAGCTAATTGTGCACTGCCCCATGGGAAATCCCATTCATAGTTGGTTTGTGACGCGACCCAGGCGCACGTTCGCGACGTCTGGGTCATC